TGTGTCTGTCTGTGTCTGTCTGTGTCTGTCTGTGTCTGTCTGTGTCTCTGTCTGTCTCTGTCTGTGTCTGTGTCTGTCTGTCTCTGTCTGTCTCTGTCTGTCTCTGTCTGTCTGTATGTCTGTATGTTTTTTCCTAAAGGCTTTTGCTCCTGCAGAACGAGAGAGGTTCTTTGACCTGAGCCGCGCAGCTGCCAGAGGTCGCCGGCCTTGAGCTGCATCTAGAAGTAGTCGACTTCAAGCTCCGGGTCTCCAGTGTGCTCGCTTTCGGAGTCTTCCATATCTGAAGCGGGAGCTGTTGGCCTGCTCCTTTTGGGCATGTGGCGTCTGAGCTGGCGGGTCATGTGGCATTTGCCAAGGCGGCTGACTGGGAGGCTGGGTTTCATGGCCTGTCACAACCAGGAGGTTGTTGCTTAGTTGTGCTTGGATTGCATCATCTGGTATGGCTGACTCATCACTGTATCGGAGCTGGCGTGGTGCCAGTGGTGATAGGCTGGCACTGGATTGGGTGTCATGGCCTGTCTGGTGCTTGGCTGCAGTGGTTGGTGCCATAGTGCTGTGGTCACCTGGTGTGAGTGCAGGGTGGCCAGTCTGGCTAGCCTTGGCCGATTGCCTTTTGAAGAGCTCTGTGATGGGTGGTGAGGTAGCAACGGGCGCCCCTTTGCAGCTCTTCTGCAAAGTGGCAGTGGCGATGGGCCTGCCTTGAGCATCCGTGTGTGTTTGGGTTCCACAGTGCTTGCAGTGGATTTTGTCTCCCTTCTGCCAAAGGAGATGGGTTTGATGTCCACTGTGGGGCTTGTCATAAAGTTGGTTGATGCACGGGCTCTGGACATAGGCCGTGAAAGCCGCCTCATTGGTCCTCTTGTGAATGCTTTGGCCACAAGCAGTGCAGCGCAGATACCCTTTGGTTTCTTCAAGGGTGTGGGCACTGCCTGGTTGCTGTTGGGCCTGCTGCTCAAGCAAGTTGGCCACAACCTGTGCTCTGGTGAGCTTGCGCTGGATTGGCTTGCGAGGGCTGCTTTGGTCAGGTTGCTCTCGTCAAGCTGGATCTGTGGACATGTCTGCCCTAGTCTTTCCTCTATGGTGGGTGCCGTAAGTGCCTGATGGACCCTGATTCCACAGGCACTGCACTGGTAACCGCTTCTGTGTGGCTGCCACCTGTGGTAGGGTGCCTGCCATGGCTTCGCGCAGTGCTGGACAAGGTGCTTTTTGTGCTGTTTTGTGCGCCGCCCTTGGTGTTTGTTTGGTTTTTGGTGCAGGTAGTGCTCCTTGTCCTGACACCACTGCAAGTCGGGCGGCTGCATGTCTGTAGATGGTCTCATGGTCTTGGTCAAGCGTGGTTTGCCATTCAGCGGCCTTTTTATTCTGGAACTGGGTAGCTCTCTCCCAGGCCGCCAAGGCTGCATCACGTTGCCTCCTCCTGAGGTGTGGTTCATTGCCAGGTGTGTCTGGTGTGCGTGTATTGCGGCTGATATAGAGCACCGTGATCCTGTGAAAGTCTTCGTCAGTCAGGCCTTGGTACAGGTCTTGGTGTTGTGCTCGATGTCGAGGTTCTGTCCACGCTTCCCAGACTGCAGCAACTTGGACGATGACTTTGACTGCAATGCAAGTATGTTTTGCCAGCGCGACCAATCCAGTTTTTAGTGCTCGGGTTTTGGTCTGAGGGCTGTCTGGCGCGCCTGTGATGGCACCAAGGCGCTGAAGTTGTCCTGCGCGCGTGACATGGACACAGAGGCCAAACACCCATAGCTGGCTGCGGGTGTCATAGGTTGAAGGCGTGGCATCAAGGGTGAAAGCCCACCCTTGGTGCTGGTGTGCCTGAAGCATCTGCAAGCCTTGCCATACCCCATGTCCTTGATAGGGGTGTTGTATGGTCAGGTGATCCTGAGGCTCCAACGGGAT